GATAAATTATGTACTTTATTTATTATTTCTTACGAAACGTAAAAAGTTCAAAGTAGACAAGTAAAAGTAAGTCGAGAATAACTTCAATCTTACCAAATACACTTGACATTATTTTTCAGTATTCTTGGAAGAGGGTAGCAATCCCGAAAGATCCATCTTACATTTCCATAGGCTACTTTCCAAGCCGCCTAGATCAATACTTAGTAGTAGTACCATTTGTTTCTAATTTTTTTTTTCATCGGACGTTCAATATTCGCATTGAAGTCCGATTATATTTAAATTTGTGTTATGCAGGTCCCATTCGGGAGAAGCACTCTCTACCAATGTTTCTAACTTTTCAAGAAAATGGTTCAAGTTTATTTGTTTCTTCCCTAGATTTAGGATTTTAAATTTTTTGCACCTACTATTAAATTGTACTATTGCACGTGAACTCATCATCAATAAATATCTCATAAGATCATTCAATTATATAATTCGAGTTAAAGACAGTGGACATCTCTACAATTTTGCAACCCCTAAAATCTTAATCCGCCAAGTACTGTCCCTTCAAACTCTTCACCAATTTAGAAAGAGGATAATATAAATAACATGAAAATCTACTCGTAAGAGCTAGCTAGAACATCTAACTGCAATCACATTTTGCTCTTGAACATTGTAAATTAAAAGCAAAACATGAAAAAGCAGGGGGGTAATTGAACAAGATAAAAGGCAAAAAGTTGTAATAATCACATTAAGCTTGGCCGAGATTCTTTTGGTACCTAAAAGAAGAATCTCATTAATGGTGGGTTACGTACTTTCCAACAGTTTCACATATGATATGAGTAACATACAAAGTTTTATCTCCATGAAACTTATCCTTTTTCTATCCTTTTAACTAGACCAAGAGAAGTTGTGTAGAAATATGATTAGTTTCACCAGAAAGACAAAAGATCATAATGAAAAGCAAAAACTAGATGGTGACAAACTATTCTTTGAAAATTCAATTGGAAAGACAACAAGAATCGTGTGCAACCCCACCCCTTCTGCTTTTCCTAAAGTTGGATATAGTGGGACTATTATAATTAGTTAATTACTACTACTATACTCCATCCGTTCTAATTTATATGAACCTGGGCACGAAATTTAAGAAAAAATGAAGATTTTTGGAATTTGTGGTCTTAAACAAGTCAAAAAGGCCCCCAGAGTATTTGTGTGGTTATAAAAGCTTCTCATTAAGGGTAGAATTGTAAGTTTAAGTTATATTATTACCAAATTTAAAAACGGACCAACAAGGAAATAGGTTCACGAATTGAGGGAGTACTATTCTTCCCTTGCGTTTCTATACAAAATTAGCCTTGTGTCACGGTATAGCTCTATCGTTTTAGGTAATAAAAAAAGAAAAGGTTTAGTTTGAAATGTGTGGATTTTATTCATTATAAAAGTACTACACTTAGATAAGAAAAAGGATGTGGTTCAAGTTTACTATTCTTATTGTCAAACTGTTACTATATTACAACACATAATTTTTCTCACTCAAAAAGTTTTAGGATTATTAAAAAAAATAGCATAAGCTTACACAAGAATTAACGAATAGTTGATTTCTTTATGATGTTTTATATGCGTATAGGCGGAGTTAGAGGTGAGCAATGAGCTCAAATTATAGTTTGATCGACAGAAGAACATTATCTGCGATATTTCAAATTCATTAATTTAAAATATTTAATCTATCTACGATTTTGTTGTGATTTTTCACCAGTGAGATTTAACTATTTTTTGTTGGATCCTAATTAATTTAGAGATTGAGTCACCATTTGAAATTTATGCGTTCTACAATTTATCATAGAATTTGTAGCTAGTTTTAATTAATCGAGTTTGTAATTAAATATCTAACTTGGTCAAAACACTAGGAACGAGTGAATAGTGGTGGTGTCAGGTAGTTTTTGTACGGTGAAAGGAGGGCAGTCACGCGATAGCAAAAATCTATAATGGTTGCAGAAATTAGACATAAAAGAGTACAGAATCTTGAGCGTGAAACGCACGTGATTAGAGTAGTTATGAAATTTAGGCAGAAAGAAATCCACACGAGTTTGCAGTCTTGTCTCTGTCCTTTTTTGTTTCAAAATGAAGCTTTTTTCTTCTTCTTTTCAACAAAAAATCATGAGTTACCCATGCACCACGTTCACGTTAAAGTTTCTTCTCACACATCAAATCTCAATTAATACTTCCTACTTTTAGATCGTCACATTTCCAAGTTTCATTTTACCATGCAATTTTGATCATTTTATATTAATTCAGATTTGAAAAACAAATAGCTCGGTGCGTGAAATGAAGTATCTCACATTCCCGTAGGATGTGGAGAAGGAGATCGTACGCCTAGAGTCTAGAGATGTAATGTAGATAACTTACCATAATGCAAGTATTATTGATTGCTTTTACCGTACGAATTTGTGGCTTATAGATTACAGACAAACAACTTTACCCTTGCTCTAAAGCTGATCAAATTAATTTTGATTAGAATTGAAAAAAAATTCTTATCTTTAATCATTATTACCAATTGGCATTTTTATTTACCATTTCAGTTTGTGATCGGTAAATGATATTTCTCACTAATAGATATTGAAATGTTAGTAGTAGTATTTACTTTTGACTTGGTCAAAATACCTTGTTCAAATTAAAATGTCACGGATTTGAATAGCATGCCGACTATACTAACTCAATTGAGTCTCTCTCATTTTTTTTTTTTTGCAGTGAAAAAGGTACTCCCTCCGTTTTAATTTACGTGAACCTGTTTGACTGGACATGAAATTTAAGAAAAAAATGAAGATTTTTGAAATTTATGGTTTTAAACAAGTCAAAAAGAAGCCCATATTATTTGTATGGTTCTAAAAGTTTCTCATTAAGGATATAATTGTAAGTTTAAACTAAATTATTTCTAAATTAATAAAAGAATCATTCTTTTTGGAACGGAACAAAAAGGAAATAGGTTCATATAAACTGAAACGGGAAGTATTATATATGCTTGATGTATGAAAAAGAAGGCCTATTGGACAAAAGAATATCATACGGTGATAGAAACTATTTATTCCTAAACCAAAAGATCCTATAGTTTCTTCCATGTCAATTAGTACTGTAGTAAGTTATTCTTTTCATATTTTATAACAAGTAGTCTGTCTGTTCCAATTTCATTGGTTCACATTTGCTTTGCCCGCTATTTAAATAAAAGAGGAGTAGTAAATATGAATTATTTAACGTTTATTGGAAAACATATGGGCCCACTAATTTCTTTGTTAAAAATAATATTAAGTAGAACATAAACTCATTTTTAAGCTTTGCACTTTAAATATCGAGAAATATTTTTAGGATAAGTAATTTGCACCTGAGAGTATACATGTAAAATCAGAAACACAAATTCTTAGTCTTACCTCTTAAGTATGAAAATTTCCTTGCAAAAATATTAACATTATAGTTGCCACCCAAGGCTCTTAATCAGAGGCGGATCTAGAATTTTAAGTTTATGGGTTCCTACAACAATCTCAAGTTAATCTGCATGATAACTCGACCAACGAACTGGGTTCCAAGCTAAATATTCTTATACCTTTACTAATTTTTTTAGTAGAAAAATAAGGTTTATGCAAAAGTTACTGGATTCACGGGAACCCGTATCCTTTTCTCTGCATCCGCCCTGCTCTTAATTAATAACAATCGGAAAAGAAGGAAATTGGATAATAAGCCAACAATTTCTACAATAAAACTACGTGTAGAGCCGCCAATTTCTAAAAACCAAATTTACTATACAGACAACATTATCACATGCAACATGTTATTTTACATGTAATAATACAAGTAAAAGATATATCAATAATTGTAATTAAGCAAACTGAGTTCCTAGTAATCAACATAAAACATCAGTTGCTTTACTAACTTGGAATTATTATACTCTGCACCTATGCTAATTAATTAAAATGAAACAAATTTTACAAGGGCTAATTGCAAAGACTTGCTCTCACATTTCGTTCCATCACACTGACCTCTCGTGATTACGATATTACGCTTACTTGTGTTATTTTAATTTTTTTATAACAATTTTTTTTACTATTTTTCATTAATATAAATATAATAAAGTTTGACGAATTTTTCCTACTAATTTTTAATTATTTTAGTTAATTACTTCTATCAAAATACCATATCTAACAAATTCTTTAAAAATAAAAATAAAAAATGCAATTCTTTTCATCGAATTTTTTTTCCTCGTTCTTCTTCCTCTCCCGTCTTCTCTGAATAATAATTTTTGGTTGTTTGAATATTTTTGGGTTCAATCTTTTTTTTCCTCATGAACAAAGAATCTTAACTTAAAAGGAAAGCAGCACGAAGCAATGGGAAGGAGAAACTTAGCAAAAAATAGAACCTTTTGGGGGACCATGCACCTCAAATTAAATTAATCCATTTTTTCGTCTTAATCTCCCAACAAAACTATTACAATTCCTACCACCTTTATCCATATTTACAAAATTTAAATAGTTCATTCATTATTGCTATAACAAATTTTCAACACTCACTTTTTTTAAAAAAAAAAACAAAAAGAAAAAGTCGACCCTACGGGGGGCTACGCCTATAAAATGAGGCTCCTTTCCTATATCCATTCCATTCATTGAGTATTCATTTCACTATACCAATTCAAACTTCAATTCAGAAATTCTAAAGAAACCGTCAATTATTATCTCCGGCGGAGTGTGTGTGTGTTCCCAGTGGTGTATCAGTGCGTGTTTCTATGTACATGAATTCTGAATCTACTTCCTTATGCGTATTTTTGCATACGTATACAATCTTCTTCCATTTACATTTTCTTTTCAAATTCCCTTCTTTATTATTTTCCATTTTCCCTCCCAATTCTGTTACTGTTCACTGGAAGCCTAGTGGATTTTTCGTTTTCCCAGAAAAATTATTCAGACCGTTAGTTTTTCTCTTGCATTTCTCGTGAATTTTGAAAACTGTTTTAATTAAAAGAGTTCCGGAGTATTAAAATGGACAACGAACTAGTGTTTGATAACGTGAAATTTGAGAAAGCGAAAGCAATTGCTAGGTACAATCGGTTTCAAAATATGATGAAGATGCTGCAAATTTTCGAAGTGGTTGTGGCGGTTGTGTTGATTTCCTGGTCCTGGACTCGTGTTCCGGTGGCCGTTAAACTCTCCGGCGAGGTTTTGGTTCAAGTCTCGGCTTTTCTGTTTAAGCCTCACGTCGTTTTTCTCATCGGCAACGGTATTATCGTTGCAATCGTGGTACTCTGCCGTCAAACTGACGCCGGAAGCAACGACTCCGTTACGGATGATATCCTCAGCGAAGAAATTCTCCATAACGAAGTTCAACAGCCGATCGTCACCGCTACATGCGGCGGCGATGTGCCGATTCTATCCTGTGATTCTTCGCCGGTGACGGCGGAGCCTAGTGTTGCAACTACCGAAGATAAACAGGTCGTTTCCTCGGAGTTGAAGGTTCCGGAGATTCAAAGCAATGACGTGGCAACGGCGATAGATACAGCGACGAAGCAGATACAGAAGTTTAAAAGGAGTCAATCGGAGAAATTGAAGCGAGAAATAGCGACGGCGAGTTCACACCGAGAGCTCCGGCGTTCGGAAACAGATATGCGGCGGTTAGTCGTCCGTCCCGGCGATAGGAAATCAACGGTACCAGTGGAAGCCGTGGACACACTGAGCAACGAAGAATTTCGGCATACAATTGAAGCTTTTATTAAGAAGAATCAAATATTCTTTGAAAAACAGAGGTTAGCTGAAGCAGAGCCTGAAAAGTATGAACGAATCGGTATCAAAGCCTTTTGAATTGTCTTACATTTTATTGAATAGTAAGAAATCGGAGTTTAAGGAGTAATAGTTACTGGATTACTACTACTTAATTACCACATCGCAAAGGTGAATGGGTTTTAGTGTTAATTACGGCCTACCTATTACTGAGATGTATGAATGTACAGAGCTACTCTGCCTATTCCCTGTTTTATCTGGAATTAGGAAGCCAAGTTTACTTAAATGTACTATGTTCATTTTGGAGTATATGCAATTGTTCTTATGAATAATAGTAATCTCTTGTTATTAAGCTTAAATTGATGGAAGAAAATTCATGATTTCAAGATTTATAGTTTTTCTTTGTAGTAATATTTAGTGCACAACTAAGACAACTCAACAGCATTGAGTTCTAGATAAATCATTCTCTTAATCTCTTTTAATGAATTTCATTAATGCTTTTTGATTACAATTCTTTTGTACTTTTTTCTTTTTCTTTTTATAAAGCGATAATTCAGTGAAGCCTGAGCGTAAATTACAAATCTTACTAGAACTATTCGTTTTAATAAGATTGTGATTAGGGTTTTGACACAGCAAGTAGGGAAGGATTATGTTGGACCTATGAGATAGCGTTACAACATTCTTTTTTTTTTTTTTTTTTTTTTTTTTTTTTTTTTTTTTTTTTTTTTTTTACATAGATTTCTGATGAAAGCTACAATCTTGAAGTGCAATAAGAGTACATGACCAAGTACTTATTAGGTTGTACTAATTACAAGTATCTTATTAGGTTAGAATTTCTTGGAATATATTTTTGAATTCTCGGAAGGGTTGTGCTAGTTTTATTTAGTTTAATTTTTCTTTAAGTGGGAGAAGGAGAATGTCTTGGAGAGAAGAAAGGAAAGATTTGAACTAATCTGTCCTTTTTTTTTTCCTAGTGGATTTTTTTGTTCGAGTGATCGCTGAAAGTCGAATCTTTGGCTTAAGGTACAAACAACATACTTATAGAGATAGTTTCCTTGTTTTGTTTTTCTGTGCATTTTGTTTCTGCTTTCCTAGAGAATGCCTAGTCGTTGCATATTAGTAATATACTATTTTTATTTTTTCTGATTAGTTATTTTGGTATGCGTTGTGCCAAGTTAAGGAAATTGTCCTTCTATTTCCTTTGCCGGTGCATTATGTGTGTCTTGAATCTGTAGGTATGAGACTAGATTCAAGGAATTTTAATTTAGTTGTTTGGAGATGTATTATAGCTAGAAAAAATGGATTTTTTTTTTTATATATTAGGAGGTCAAGTATTTTTAAGGACCTGCTGTTTTACAACATATGAATTATCATGCACCATGATACTATACTATTTCTTTATTATCCCCACAACTAATGGCTTTAATGTTTGCCAAAGAAACTAAATTTATGACCCCTTGATGTTTGAATGTATTAATGTAATCATATCACATTCAAGTTTATATTTTCAATATCAACTATCTATTGGAATGATGCAACTTATTTCACAGATCGCAAGTCTAAAAATTTATCGTTAAATATACAGTAACATTTTTCCTATGAATTAAGATGATTAACAATCTAAAAAATGAAATACCTAAGAGCAGCTCGGTGCATAAAGCATTTTGCATTTATGCAGGATTCGGGAAAGTGTAATATAGACAACTTACCTTGATACAAGCATTAATGACTATTTTTACGGCTCAAATCCGTAACCTATAAATTACACAAAGACAACTTTATTGTTATTCCAAGAGTTCTCTTAAAAAAAATTGAAACACCTCCGTTGCTAAAATGAAATATACATGAAATATTTTCTATTTGCTAAGTCCTTTCGTCAAATCAAATATGCATTTGAATCTTGTCTGATAGGAAGTTTATTATTCCAAGGGGAAAAAAAAGATAAAAATCCATAGATGTTTCTTCACTTATTACGCTATCATTGCAATATTTTGTAATGATGAGTATATCAAGTTAGGGTTTTAATTGAATACAAAAGTGACTGGAAAACAATCACAATATCCGAAATCAGTGGCTTTCAACAACCCACCAAAGCATTACTCCAACCTCCAAAGTAAGAAGTAATAATTACCTTCAAAAAGCAGGTAATTTTCTATTGGAAAAGTCATCTTTTTCTCTACTTTAGGCTAATTAGTTACTAATAATTTGCAATTAGTGACATTATCTCTGCTATAAACTCACGTCCATCATAATTACCTAGCTATAGGATGAAGCATTAGTAGGCATTTTGTGGAAAATTTATCCTCGATCTTTTCTGACATTTTAGCCTGAGAATGACTTTTAAGCTCAAGCAGTCTAACGTGTCTTCACCCTATCAATCTCTTAAGAATATATACTGCAACATTTAACTAAATTATTTGATCTAAGATAAAATCTTTTTTCCTAAATTAGAACTAACAAAGTAACAATAGTACTACTTCATGGTGCATCGCCATTCATTGTTTTTACGTCAATTAAATGAATACAAGATACATATTTTCACATATCGTTTTTATCAATAAATCATAAATAATTAATATATATATTATTACATTAATATGAAAAAGAAAATTAATGAACATGACTTTAAATGTAAGATCAACTTCTAAATTGTTGAGAATTAAGTAAAATTTACGTCATTTGCTGAAGTTCACCAAAAGAGCTTGTATGGAGCCATTCTTGTAGTGGAAGGACTACGTAAGTCTAAAATAATCACAGAGTTTAAGTAAGATTTTGTGAAATATTTAAGGGCTACAAAATTATTATATTTTCTTTTCTCGCATGTTTAACAAATAACAAATGTATAATTAAGTTGGAAATCTAGGAGGTATACATATATATAATGGTCACAATCAATGGTTCACGTCAAGAAGATTTAGTAAACATGTAGAATTCAAAATATATACAGTATTTATTTTCTGAAAAGAAAAGGAGATATAAAACAAAAATAAAGATGAACAAACTCGTATTATGTGTTTTCCTTTTTTCTGATTAAAAAAAAAAACTATATTTCCGTTTTGGTTTATTCTTCTTCTTTTTTGGTGCACTGAACAATTAAATAAGAAAAGAAAGAATTATAATTTGGTAGTGGCAACAAAAATAAGTTCCTTTGGCTTAGAGGTTGTGAGACTTGTAGTGAAGTTTATTTAATTTGTATTATTGCAAGTATTGGGGCCTAACCACAATACAGCGGCTTCCTCTTATCCACTCTTGTTGGAAGCTTTGTAACATTAAAATTTAAAAAAAAAAAAAAAAGGCATCAATCTTGACTCATATTTTATATTTCCTCTTCTTTTTAGGAAGAAAAGACAGCTAAATAAGTCCTATTTAGTTGTAACAATGTTTCCTTCTTTTCTTTTTCTTTCAATTTCTAGGTCAGATTTTTTAACTATTTCAATAGTTTTTAAAGTGATAAAATTACAACTATTATCTACTGGGGCAGGGGATATGATTTTGTCCATACACTTCCTCACACATTGTTTCAATCTAAGGGTCCAAATTATTCGCCACTCATCCAAAATTAATGATACTTTAATCTAATAACCATTTTGATAATCAAAGATGTTGACTTTATCCACTATTTTTCCTAATTTTTTCCTTTTTTTGAGTGGTATTTTTGGTTGCAATCTTAAAGTGCGTGCTGCTTATTTTGTTTTCCAGTCAAATAATTGTGGCTAGCTAACAATCATCATTCTTATGTTCCAATTAAATATAAAGATGTTTGTCTGTAATATGCTACAATAATTTTCTTTGGTTATTCATTTAGTTTCAACAGTTTTCTTTGCTAATAATCCATTCAAAAAATCTATTTACTTTTTCATTTATGGCAGGGAGGACTGAGGAGAGGTTTAAGGGATACGATCTCTCGTATACTTTCGAAAACAATTCAGGAAAAAAGTGATTAACTTTATAAGGCCAAAAACAAAAAATAAAAAATAATTCCAAGGCTTTATATTTTTATGCCTCACTCAATTTTAGAGTTCATTACACAAATGGTCACTCAATTATCCCAATTTATCTTCTAAAGTCACTTTACTTTCGTTTGTAACAACAAAATCACTGAACTATGCCTATTGCACTCAAAAGGTCACTCAACTAGATTTTCCAAATTTTGGATTGTCAAATACCTATTTTACCCTTTAAATTATAAATATTTATCTTCTTTTTATTTTTTTTTACTTTATAATATTATGATTTTCCCTTTTTAATTTATATTATGGACTTACCTATAGAATAAATAAATATTATTTATAAATTAAAAAATAAAAAGTATTTAAGCATCTATAATGCTGGAATAACAAAATAATGAGTATAGTAAAAAAATCAATTAGAATAATTTGTTAATAATAATAATTTTAGTATTAACAACAAAAAATTCAAAAAATTATTTACACAATTCAGAATGAAAGAAAATAAAGGTGGTAAAATATATATTTCATGCACGTAATATGAAAATAATTATTTCAATAAATATATTTTTATAATATACATTATATATTCTTGAAGATTATGTTCAATTATATTACTATTTTGTTTCTACCAACTTTCCGACGACACAAAATTATGTCACTCGAAAGCATGGGGACTATCTGTATAGAGTAAAATATGCTATGTTAAGTCGTGCATGGAATATATATAATATACTTGAGCATAATTTTCAAGAATATAATGTATATTATAAAAATACTTTTATTTAAATAATTAGTTTCATATTACGTGCATGAAATATATATTTTACAACTTTTATTTTTTTTCATTCTGAATTGTGTAAATAAATTTTTGAATTTTTGTTGTTAATACTAAAATTATTATTACTAACAAATTATTCTAATTAATTTTTTTACTATGCTCATTATTTTGTTATTCCGGCATTATAGATGCTTAAATACTTTTTATTTTTTAATTTATAAATAATATTTATTTATTCTATAGGTAAGTCCATAATATAAATTAAAAAGGGAAAATCATAATATTATAAATTTTAAAAAAATAAAAAAAAGATAAATATTTATAATTTAAAGGGTAAAATAGGTATTTGGTAA